CCTGCCCTGCCCCACCTGCTGTGCAGTGGGCACATGGGATGAGGCAGGTATGGGGCTGGGCCCTCTACACCTGATTTAGAATCTTTCCCATAACAGGAAAGACTTGTCCCCTTGCAGGCGGAGCATAGGTAGAGAGGGATGGACCATGGCTGCTTGAAGATTGGAAGTTTGGGATGCAGGCCTCCAGTGTCAAAAAAGAAGAAGAAGAAGAAGCACAGCATAACAGATGGGGACAGAAGGATCCCAAGGGAGCAGCACCTACAGTCAAATAGCAATGTGGTTCCAAGTAAGGGATTTGCAGTCAGGCAGACCTGGGCGAAACCAGGGCCTGGTCACTTACTGTGTGGATGAATCATATGCCCTCTCTGGACCTGTTTCCTCGTCTGTCAACTAGGGCAATAATACCTCTGGCCTCACTGGGTTGCGGTGAGGACTGAGTTGATACATGCAAGTGATTTTGAGAGGGTCAGAAGCATTAGCTATTAGGGTCACTCCCCTGGGCACCCAGCATGGCTTTCTGAGCACAGTAGGCAGAAGGAGGGCATGAGGAAGACATGCTCAAGGCACACAGACTTCCTGGATGAAGTCCTGTTGAGCCCCACCTGCCATTTAATGGGTACATGGGATGAGGCAGGTATGGGGCTGGGCCCTCTGCATCTGATTCAGAATCCTTCCCATAACAGGAAAGACTTGTCCCCTTGCAGGTAGAGAACCTGTGCCCTAGAGAAGTCTGGCAATCAGCTAGGTCTCCAACAAGGAACATGTGGCTTTGCTGAGCAATCAGATTCCCTGAATCCTGCTGGCGTGACCATGAGGATGACACAGGCAGGTCAGGCTCACAAGTCAAGGTGGTGCTGCTGAGGCCACCTGCTGGACTCCTCTGGACAAACGGAAACCTTGCCGCATTCCAGACCCTGCAATCTGGTTCTCCAATCCTCTTGCCCATGATTCTAGTCTCCCCTTCAACAAGGTCACGTGATCACCAGCCCTAGATATGGCCAGCCGAATGATAGGCAGCTTGGTTTTTGTTTTGTTTTGTTTTGTTTTTTCCCAAGCCATAAGCCCACAATTCGATGGCAAATGGAAATTCCATATACACATTAGTGACAGAGCAGTTACAGTTAATTACCTTTCCTTGGCATGCTGGTGTGGGTGCCAAGGACTTGTTGCATCAGTTCAAAAATCTAGGGAGCTATTTCAGCAATCCATGGAAATCAGGCAACTGGGGACCAAGTGTCTTTGTCATCAGAAACCAGCTGATTTCCATGACCCCCCAAACTCCTGATTTAGCCTCATTGGTCCCTGGAAAACTGTCCAAAGAAGGGGGGAAAAATAGCCAAATCAGGTTACTGATTTAACAGCCAACCATCAATCATTAATTCTATGCCAGGTGCTGCCTTCAGGAAGCTCACAGTTTAACAGGTAAAGCAGACATATCAATAATTTTAGAACCCTTCGGTTTGTAGTGTAATTGAACACTGGGACAGTTGATGCTCCTGTTTGCAAGAGGCAGACTAAACGCACACCCTTAGCTGACAAGAAAAGCAGGAGACGTGTTTAAAATACAAATTTGATATTCGATTGTTCTTAAGCCATGAAGGTAGTGGCATGGGGGGAATCAGAACTTGTTGGAACTCTTTATATTTGCAATTTAATATTACTTCTCTTTTTAATTACTTACTAAGTGGATGGGTTGCATCATAGTCCTCCCAATGCTCAGAGCTTCTTCATTCAAAGAAAGGTGGCTACAGTTGAGAATAACCGAGGATATAATATTGGCAGAAAGTGGCAGCCACCTAATGTGAGCAAGGAGCTGAGGATATTTCTAAGGTTCTGAGCTGGGTAACTGGGAAATCCTGGAGGCTTAGTGGAGAGGCTAATGAGCTTGTTTTGGAAGGGAAATATTGAGGTGAGATGTCCAGGAGTCAACTAGATGTATGGGCTGTCTGGACCCAGAGTTTCCATGGACCAAGAAGCCAAGAGACATATATTAGGAGATGTCTTGGCAGGAGAGACCTGTCTGGAAGCTGCAGAGTGTGTAGTGGAAGAAATGGGCATGGATGAGCTCACCCAGGGAAAAGGGAAAAGGAATTGAATCCTGCAGGACACCATACTTCAGGGAGGGGAATAGTGTTAGCATTAGACACTGAGGTAGAACACCCAAGAGTTAGGTGGAAAATAACAATGTCCAAAAGCCTAAGAAAGAGAAAATTTAAAAGGAATGACCCAAAAGGTTTAAAGCCACAAAAAGAAGATAAGAACAGACCAAGTGGGGCTGGGGTTGTAGCTCAGTGGTACAGTGCTTGCCTAGCATGTGTGAGGCACAGGGTTCGATTCTCAGCACTGCATATAAATAAATGAAAACAGGGCTCCATCAACAATTTTTTAAAATATCATAAAAAGAACAGAAAAAGTACAAAGGATTTGATAATATTGGTGTTATCAGGGTTCTCTTCTAGAATGTTCCAGTGGAGTCCTGGGGGACAGAAAGCAGACTGTAGAGAGTGCTGGGTAGTAGAGAAAGTGAGTGAAGACATCTTTGAGGGGATCGGACAGTAAAAGTCAGAACGGGTGGGATAGTGGTTAAAAGAGATTAGGGGCACCAAGAAATATCCCTGGCTTGTCTTATGTTAAAATATACCTGTCTAGAAGCCATGAGAAAGGTGTTCCAAGGAGAGAGAGCTATTGTTGGAGAGTGGGAGAACAGGTAACTGATGGAGGTTTCAAGGAGGCAGGGCTCAGAGTTGTTGAAAGAAGCAGGCAAAGGTGGGCAATGAGTCTGGGCTTCCCAAATCCTCATGCTTATTTCAGCCATTGATCCCTAAGCCAAGGAAGGGAGCAGGCTCAGTCCTAAGCATCTTTTAAAGTCAACAGTGTGAAGCAAACACAAAATGAATGTGTTCCACATCCTGCGGATCTCCTGTTACCAAGTCCATTTCCAATCTCTGCTGCCTGTAAAGCCAGACAGAGCATTTAAATGTGGGAAAGGTTTTATAAGAAATGAATGCACTAGAAGGCGGGGCAAGGCCTGAAGGGGCTATTACCCCTCCTCATTCCCTCCACAACCCCAACTTATCTTCCCACAGAGCTGCAAGCAAATGGATCTCTATAAGGCCAGATTCTAGAGTTGCTGGGCAGTGTGCAAGCTCTCTGGTGAGTAGGCCTTATTCTCTCCCCAGGGACATGATATGCCCAAGGGGCAGGGACAAACCTAACCAGAAAAACAATCCAGCCAGATATGGAGTAATTCTCCAGTAAGTTAAATCATAGAGGGGACTCGCCTGAACTAACAGCCTAGAATCCTACTGTAACAGCTGTCCCCACCACCATCCGTGTGGCAAGTCTGTGCGACCAGCAGCGTCGGTGTGAGCATCTTTGCTGTGGGTGTGGGTGTGCTTGGAGTCCAGAGCAGCCCAGCGCGCGCATCACGGGCGCCCCTCTCTGGGTGTCAGTGGCTATGACTCTTAGGAGAACCTAAGAAAGTCCGGTCAAGTAGAAATGATACATCCAGGACTGGCTTGGGGCGCCCTCCCTGACTTGGAACCCCAATATAACGCGGCCAAGGGGAAGGCGACACAATATGCGGAGACGCATTCACAAGATGCTGGAGCCAGTGGGCCAGGGAGCCACCACTCACTGTCCTGCTAGCAGAGAGGCGCACTTTCCAAGAAGGGGCACAGGGGTTTGGGGGAGGTGGAGGCCAAAACCTTTAGAGATTCAATCAGTGCTTTGAAACAACAACAACAACAACAACACACACACACACACACACACACACACTAGGACGGAGGTGCCTTGGATCCAGGCCCCCCAGCAGCAGGTGTTTCGGGTTTTCTTCCCCAGTGGGTGTCAGCCTCGGGGCTAAATGAAATGGGGCTCCAGGCGTCCCTTTTTGGATGCTCCCCATCAGGACACACGGAACTTTCTAGGTTGTGGCTACAGCTGAGCTTCGAGGGTGCCTTGGGTAAAGTGGGAGTGGACCAGTTGGGGCCAGTAGGCTCCACTGGGGACTAGGTTCCCTAGAAGGTCCGCGTGCCTCTTAGAGGAGCTGCAAGCTGCAGCCAGACATCGCTAAGTTCCGGGACTCTCCGCACCCGCCAGCTCTGCCGCCCTCCTGGACTCGGTTGCGGCGAGCGGGTCCCGCCGCCCGCGCCGGCGCTGCCGCAGCCCAGGCGCTCGGCTGCAGCAGGGCGCGGGAAAGGGCACTTTGGCGCGGAGTGGGAACCGAGGGGAATGTGGCGACGCGGAGCCTGGAGGAGACACTTCCTCCCCCGCCCTGGGCACAACCCCCGCCCCTGCCTCCCGTTATTCACACCTTCCAGCCCCCGGCTAAGCCCTCTTGCAAATAATGCGCCGGACCCCGAACGTGGGCGCGCGCCCACCTGCACCCCCCTCCTAGCTCGGAAGCGCGAAGGGAGGGGACGCTTGGGGAGGGGGATGGCGGCCGCAGTCTCCGGGCGGCTCCGGCGGGGGCAAGGGTTTGAGTGGAAAAAAAAAATGGGCGGGGGCAGGGAAAGACAGACCCTGCAGACGCGGATACGCTGAAGGGGCGCGCCGTTCCTCTCCAGCCCCCAGGACAGGCGTGCCAAGCAGAATCCGGAGCAGGGGGAGTAGGGCTCCGGGAAAGTTTATCCGAGGAAAGCCTGGCACCTCGGGGGCTGGGAGGCTAGAGAAACTGAAGCCATGGTCCAGGTGCCCCGCAACCCCCGGGCGGGGATGTCTGTCTCCCAGGCCCCCACACCGGCCGAATCCAGCCAAGTTGCGGCTGAGGTTGGGGAAAGCAATGAGGGTGAGGGTGGAGGTGAGGATGTGGTGGAGGGTTGGGTGGAGGATCAGGGGCTGGCAGAGGCGTAGATGAGAAGGAGGTGGGCAATTGGGAGGGGGAGGTTGAGACCAGGGTGGGGGCGGGGGAAGGCACTGGGACCGGGTCGAGGCTGGGTGGGCTCGGGTTCGGGTGGGGCGTTCAGTGGCTGCCGGCTCCCCGCCGCAGCCAGACTTACCAGCGGTGGCCGAGGCGCTGAGCAGCCCCCAGCCCAGCAGCAGCAGCAGCGGCGGCGGCGTTGGTGGCGGAGGGCGGCCCCAGCGGCTCCCGGCGCCCGGCACAGGAGCCGAAATCCCGGCTTCGCCGCGAGCTCTCCCCGCGGGGCAGCCGCAGCGCCCCTGCTCCCGTCCCCGCGAGCGCGGCATGGCGCGGCCGGCAGCGCCGAGGGAGAGGCTCCGCTCGCCGCCGAGGAGAAAGGAGGTCAGGAGAGCTCTGGAGCTTTTTTCTGCTAGGAAAAAAATCCCGGTACGCGGGAGCCCTGAGCTTCTGCGGCTGGAATGAACCAAGTGTCCGCCCGGCCGGGGAGAGGCGCGCTGCGCTCTCGGAAATGACTCGCTCCAATCCCGCTTCGCAGGGTTCGCGCCGGGGGGCGGGGGGGGGGTGAATTATCCCCGGATTAATCACTCCGGAGCCGCTTCTCCGCCGCTCCAAATGCTGGGGGTGGAGGCGCAGCCAAGGAAAAAATATTGGGGGGTGGGGGTTCCTCTTCAGCGCCACCTCCACCTCCAGATAAACCACAAATTACATCTAAAGGGTTGTTTATTTCTGTTTGTTTTACAATTGACCGGATTCTTTTAAGTTCAGTCCTCCGGTTTGCATTTATAAGATCACCGTTAATGTACCCCCATATACACATACACACACACAGTGACACAGGCATACACGCATTCACACACACAGGCACATACACACACGCCTCTTCCACGTTTAGGAATTGGAATACTGTCTGGGAATAGGTAACCAAAGAAGGACGCGGTTCCCAAGTCGTGGCTCTTTGGAGCTAATCTAGGGTGGTGGCTTTGCAACTTGCAATCTTGGGCCAGGATGATGCTTAAGAGCCCCATTCACAATAGCGTCCTACCCCATCCCAGGAGAAGGGCGTGCGTCCATAGGCAGAGGAAGGGTTGATAATTGGAGAACTGATAGAACAGGGTGTGTGTGTTGGGGGGGGGGGTACCAGTTCATTTGACTCAGCGCGGTCCTACCCTGGGTTTAAAACAAAATCTGAGGATGGAAGAAGGATGCCTGTGTGCGCGGGGATGGGGGTGGGGACTGGGGTTGGTGGAAGGACGGTGCAAGTTACTTGTACAATTTATTCTCAAATAACCGGACCCTTCTTTCTCTCCTCCTCCCCCTCCCAGCCATGGCCCCAAAGCAGGCGAATTTCTCCCAAAGCCCTGAGCCATTCCCCACCTCTCCTCAGTAGCCACTGCCTCCAAGCCCCAAGGGCTCAGCTTAGGTCCCCACCCCATCCCCCACCCCGACTGGGCTGCCTGTCGGGTCTACCCTGGGCTCCTCCGCCAGTCACGATGGCTCTTTAGCTGTCTACGCCAAACTCTTCGGCGAGAGGAAAGAGATGCTTAGGGAGGTGGGGGAAGGCTGGTGGGGCAAAGATGGGGAAGGAGGCCCTGGGTTGGTGCGCGCAGCCGAAAGGCACCTGCGGATGGGCACTCCTACCGATTTGCCAAAAGCACCCAGAGAGGCTGTACTCTGTTTAGGGAGACAGGGAGCTGCGCGATTTGGCCAGTCTCGAGATCTGGCATTTTCTCGAGGCCCCGGGGACAGTGGCTGGGGACTGGGGGGGGCGGGGGGGGCGGATTTCCCCCAAAAAGGCGAAGAGAGGGACTTTGGAGTTGGCGACCCAGGTGGGGGAGTGGGGAGTAGCGACTCAGGTAGGCAGGCAGTCGATGGGACTGGGAATTTTGAGGGAAGGGAATGCAGAGGGTTACCCACCGACCCTGGTTAGGAACCCAAGTTGGAGGGGAGGGGGCAGGACGGGAGGAGTGGAGGCTTGTCTTTATTCCCTACCAAAAACTTGCTCTCCAGAGCCATACTTCCTCAGCCTGCTAGATGCCGGTCTTCCTCCCAACCCCCTTACCCCAAGTTGTTCCGGTTTCCCTGCATGAGCTCATCTCACAGCTGGGGAACCAGCCCGGTGGCCCTGGGCCGGCGAGCCTCCTCAGAATCGCCGGCCCCATCCCCATCCCCACCCCCAACACTCCTGCTTTCCAGCCCCTCCCGACGCCGCCTCGCTGGGTGCCAAGAACCAACCAAAGCAGCCAGAACTCCTCAGTGAAAGGCCTGCTTTATGTCCCCAGGGCAGCAGGGAGGGGGCTTTTCGCTTCCCATTGTGCATACGCAGCCCGCAGCCCTCGCCCCCCGAAAGAGCGCTCAGCCAGAGGAGGTCCAGGCCTTCCCACCAGCCCTAGAAAGGGGGGCGGGGGCTGGCCCAGTCGTGAGTGGGTAGCGGTCTTGGGGGCTGTTGGCTGGGTCTTGCCTGGGGTGGGCTTCTGGCTCCTCATCTAGGATCTCCCTGCTCTCTTGAGAACCCAGTTCTCCTCCAGAGAAAGGAGCTGGCAGTGATGTCCAGGCCTCCTAGGCAGCCCCACAGCTGGGCAGAAGAGCCTGGGCTGTTCTCTAATTCTGGGGCACCAAGCCAACTGGACTTTCCCCCACCCCAGAACTTTGCTCCCTGGCGGCAACTGGCAGATGAGGTTTACCCTAAACCCTCCCGGGCAACAGGACCATCTGTCTTCCTTCTCCCTGGGGGCTGTGGAGAGCAGGGGCACCCTTTTAATCCTTGTGGACGACCCAGTTACTCACATTCCCCACCGTGGGTGCTCCCTCTGATCTATTTGGGTCCACATACCTTTACCCAGCGCCTCCCTGCTCGGGCCTTGAGCGCAGCTGTGCTGTGAGCCATGTGGAGATGCACAGTGTGTGGTCCTGGTTTGGGAGGAGGCAGGGCAGAGGTGGAAACGCCATGTAACTGACACAGCCCCACAGTGATACTCACCATGGCTGAAGAAGAGGCGAATCATGACAATAGGCTTTTCTTGGACTTGGTAGATCAAAGGTTAATTTAAGGAAAGAAGTAGGATTCTAGCTGGACCCTGATGCCTGGATAAAGATTTTAACCAGGTGAAGATTCATTTACTCAACAAATATTTACTAAGCATCATTATGTGCCCTGGTGCTGTGTTAGATAAGAAACACACACCATGGTGAACAGTCCTTGGCTTGAGGAAGGCAGGCAATAAACAAATATGCATAGAGTTCCTAATTAAGGATTCTCTGAAGGAAAAGTTCATAGTGCAAGGAGGAAGAATGTAGGGATGTACCATAAAAGGACAGATGGGAACGGCAGTCTTACCAGTGGGATCTAAAATTAAGCAAGGCAGTCATGCAATGTTGGAAAAGGGTTTGAGGTATGCAAGAGAGCACAGGCAAGACCTTAAACAAGGGAAGGGACCAGGGAAGGAGTGTGGGTCAGGGTCTCACAAGGTGTTACGGTTTGGATGTGAGGTGTCCTCCAAATGCTCATGTGGGAGACATTGCTAGAAGGTTCAGAGGAAAAATGATTGGGTTGGAAGAGTCTTAACCCAACCAGTGATTTAATCCCCTGTAGGGATTAACTGATGTAACTGAAGTAATAGGGTGTGGCTGGTGGAGGTGGGAATTAGAGTGTGGCTTTGGTGTATATATTTGTATCTGTAAAATGGAGTGTCTCTCTCTCCAATCCCCCCACCCCCCTGCCGCCACTTCTTGATCACCATGACAAGAGCTGCTTCCCTCTGCCACACCCCCCACCATTGATGTTCAGCCTTATCTGGAGACCGGAGAAATGAAGCTGGCCTTCCATGGAATAAGACCTCTGAAATCATGAGCCCTCAAATAACCTTTTCCTTTTCTATGGTTGTTCTGGTCAGATCCTTTAGTCACAGCCGCGAAAAAGCTGACTAAAACACAGGAGGGTGAGGAGTTTTGCTTTTACTCCTAGGCAGTGGGAAATAGGACCTGTATTTGTTTGCTAGGGCTAACATAGCAAAGCACCACGGAATACACGGCTGGAGGTTAGAGGTTTAAGATCAAGGTGACCAAAGGTTGGTTCCTTCTGGGCCTCTCTCCTGGGCTTATAGATGGCCATCTTCTCCCTCGGGATCTCCCCTCTGTACATGTCTGGGCCCTAATTTCCTCTTATGAGAACACCAGTCATTTTGGATTAGGATTCTCCTAATGATCTCATTTTAATTTAATTACCTCTTTAAAGACCCCCATCTCCAAATAGGGTCACATTCTGAAGGACTGGGGGTTAGGACTAGGAAATATAAGTGGAGGAGGGCATAATTCAGCCCATAACAGGAAGAGAGTTGGAGGAAGGAAAGCAAACAGAATACATAGGCCAAGAGTTGGGTGTGAAGACTGTGGATACCATGGTGGATTTAGCAGAAGATACTTTAGAAATATGGACTCAACTCTGACAACCTGGCATGTACTCTGGCTTCTCTCTGGGGAATGAGAGAAAGAGAAGGGACAGAAAAAAAGATGACCACTTGGGAGGCGATTGCAATAATCAGAGTGATATGGGCAAAGGTGGGGATGGGGGCCCTGGAAACCCCCTAAGAGCAGTAGAGACAACGAAAGTGTGGGTCTCAGCCTCCTGGAACTGGATCTCTGCCTGCTGCTTCCCTTCTCCAGATGAGCAAGAGCAGCCATGGGTCAAGGTCTAGTCACGATATCACATTGCAAAAAACACAAATGCAATGTAGTGACTTGCTAAGATAAGCCTCATATTCAGATAAGATCAGAGTTTGTTTTAGAAAGAAAACAAAGCCCAATGCTCTGGAGAACTCAGCCTGATTCAAGGAAGGACTGTAGACTCAATGCCCTGAAATTTTCATTCTGACCCAAGAAGAAAATCAAAGAACCTTCTGAAGCCCAGAGAGAGAGAGAGAGAGAGAATAAAAATGGATGCTCCAACAATCTGAGGAGAGAATGGAGGTCAGGGGGCCAAGCAAGACTGCAGAGGAGAGCTACTGAGTGTGTGTCCAGGCAAAGTGAAGGAAAGCCTGGGATTTGAGTTGGGGTGTGGATTTCTAAATCCTGTGAGGTGTCCTCCTCCAAATGCTCATGTGGTCAGACACAAGCAGTTATTTCCCAAGATTGAGGCTGTCACTGTAGAGATGGCTGCAATCTGCTTCCCAAGAAAAAGTAACAGAAAGGGCTTCTGAAAGAGTAACCCAGGACAAATCAGGTTGAGCCATTGGACCGCCACAACCGGGAGGGAGAAGCAAGCCAGTGAGCCACAGTAGGGTCTGTTCCTCCAATGCCACCAAATGTTGAGGCCACCAAGTTCTGATATTCTTCTAGAAAATACTTTTGTGAATTGAAGAAAGGGAAGGGACAGAGCTCACACCCGTGACAACACACAGATCAGTACTTTACTCTGTGCGTCAAAGACCATAATCCACAGGCAAGGGGCTTTCCAGCTATCATCCCTCCTTGAAGGTCCTCCAG